ATTGTTTATGATGTTAGGTAAAGATGTAAATAATATACATTTCAAGTATTAACTAAGTTTAAAGGGGAACAACACGCACTGAGAACTGTTGGAGAGAGTGTTGGGTAGAAGAACATTAGGGAAAAGTGCAATTGCATGTTGGGCTTAATACCTAGAAGATGGGTTGTTAGGTGCAGCAAACCCCATAGCAGGCATTTACCTATGTAACAAACATGCATGTCCTACACGTGCACCATGGAAGTTATAAATAAAATAAAATATATTTTTTGAAAGATACTGGCTTAAATAAAAATTAATATCTTGGAAAAAATAATTAGAAAAAAGCATTTTGTAATATTGTTATAATTTAGGATGATGAATGGTATTTATTCAAATATGAACACGAGTGTGAAAATGAAGACAAATCCCCAAAACTAAAATCTTATAAGATTTTCTACCAAATATGAAATTTATATTTCAAGATGATTTTTAAATTAAAATATAAAGAACATATTGATAAAATATTTTCAGTCTATTTGATCACCACCGGTTCTATTATGGGTTATAAATAATAGTTAAATCAATGATAATTTTTTATTAGCAAAGGACATGAAGAGGCAATTCACCAATATGAAGAAAAAAGTACAGTAGACATTAAAATAGTTAAATTTAGTAGCAAAAAAAGTAAGTTCCTTATATTGGTTAACCAAGTTTTAAGAAAATAATTAAAAGTTAAAAAGAATGAAGTAGCCAGTCATAATGATAAGTGAAAATTTATATTTGCATTCATATTGGTTTTGTTGTATCTATATAATCAGTCTAAAACATGGTCATTTTCAAATAACCTGAAAAAATTTGTAATCAGATTCGGAAATATTAATATAATTTTTAAATACTTGGAAATTTTAAAAAATAATTGGAAATTGACGTAAGGGTATTTTCATAGTGTTATTAGAGTAGTAAAAACTTGGAAAGTCCATAATAACACTTGATTTGTTGATTAAAATGGTGTCTATACTATGGAATATATTTTGAAGAGAAAATATTTCTGGGTAAAAATCATAGAGTGAAACTGTATTACAGAGTCTCTTATCCTAATACCTTACACAACCCCTTCCTCCCCAAAAATTGTACAACAAACACAAGTGCACATACATGCACACACACACACACAGATTGTAGCAGGAGTCAAATAATAACTAGCAAAATTTCATTTGATAAACCTTGCAAAAGTGTTGGTCAATAAAAGAAACATTCTACTTCCTCATTACTTTCCACAAGCAGTTTGGGAGACTAAAGATAAATCAAAATATGGTAAGTATTTGTGAACAGAAATGACCTCTGCTGTTTCACATACGGTAATCTCCATAACTTGCATTACTGCAAGAGGCAATATTGGAAATCATGAAGGCTCTGCTAGTGTGGATTCATGAGTGTCTATAATGAGCAAATGTCAATAATGTCTATAGTGAGCAAATTGTCCCCGTGTTAAATCATGATAGATCTATAGGAGCAACAAGACCTATACTGCTAGTGGTTCTCATTTTAAGCCACTGTCATTTTGGTGATGTATATTACAACATGGTATCTTGGCTTACCTTTTTTTCTACACAGAGGATTTAGGAAGCAAATGACATGTGACCAAGTTCTTAACAACTATGATCAGAAATAATATGAGTAAATTCTGTCATTTGCTTAAAGGAATTATTTGCCTCCCAGTTCTATGTCTTCATAATTTCCTGAAGCAGGATCCCAGATATGGACCTACCATATCATATGAGACATAGTTCACAGACGTTTGTAGAGTAATAATAGATAATAAAATTTAGGAGGGATGGGTCGACTAGGAGATTTGATATCAGAGAGAAGGGTAACTGCCTCAGGCAAGGTTATTACAAAGCCTTTAAACAAAGCAAAAATAGCCCGTATGACAATTCTTCTTGATGTTATGTACCTTTCCCAAAGCTCTTATACAGATGCATCTGTAGAGATGAAAAAAGGACTTTGAAAAAAAACAGTCATTAGCTTTCTAGCCTCTACAATGTAGTAAGACATTCTAAGAGTATTAAAATGAAGTAGCCTCAGCAGATCTGCAGTGTAGGCCATGTAGGTTTCCTGTTCATTTATTGAGCTTTGAGGAAAATGAACATCTCTTCAGTCATTCTTGCAGAAGAAAATGAGATATGAAAGAATAAAATTCAAGATGACTTCACACTTCTCTGGAGAAACATTAAAAGGCAGAATAAATATTTGTAAAGTATATGATATCCTGCAGGATAAATGAAGCTAGAGTATATGATACTCAGAGAATATGGTGATCAAGTTTAGAAGCAACAAGCCAACAACTTTAAATGTGTGAATTTCAAAGAACACAATAAAATAAGCCTAAAATTGTAGCCCAAAATATAACTCTAGAACAAATGTAATGTTAAAGGGATAGATGGTAAACACTGAATGCAATTAAGTACAAAACAAAGTAACATTTGTGGGATTTATGGATTAGCTTAGGGAATGGTTTTAACACTAAGAATGATTATCTGAGATTTATGGATGCTTGTATTTTTTCCCTTCTTTGTAGTACTGTTTATTTTAAATAATTATTGTACTTCTCTTTAATAAACATAATTATTTCAAGATGAAAGAAGAAATCATTTCACAAAAATTATTACTAAAATAAATCCATACTGACATTCAGTAATTAAAATATGAAATTTATATTATTTAATCAACCAGAAAATTTCTCTAAATATATGCTTATGAATAAAATGAAATATATATATTTCTTAATAGTGATCAAAGCTCATTCATGTGAAACTTCAGGCCTTCTATTTGCATTTTTAATGTTTCATACCACTCTTTTGGATTTACTCTAATAAATCCAATTAGTATTCTAATTTTTATTGCTATGGTTTCTTTCTAATTTGATCTTGAGATCTTCATCTTAAGAGTCCCATTAGCTCTTCTAATGCCCTGACCATAAAGTTCAAGGGACTTGGTCATGGGCATTTAAAGTGTGTCTTTCAAGGGATGCTTGTTAATCCCGGAAGGTGACCTAATGCCGAAGAATCCAACTCATGTTCAAGTACTCCTTTCACAGGTGTCTTATTTATACTGGCAGATGCTTTTGGGGCTCTCATTTGATGACCAGTTTATTTCTACCAAGACAGCCACTTTCTAAGATAGAGATCTGTCATGGATAGAAGGTAAGGTTCAAGTTTGTGCATGTCAAGTAAGACACATGAGGCAGTAAAACCAAAGTGGATGGAGCAGAAGAAATGTATTACTTAGAGGTCCTAGCAAGGTTAGGGGTGCCAATAGGAGGCTGGCGAGAAGTCTGGAGGTATCCAAACGTTAACCGAACGTGAGTGGAAGGCAAGAGCAAGGGCGGACCTGTGTAACTATTCCCTCCTCAAAGTTCATGGGTGCTGTCCCTTTGACTTTCCACTGGAATTATGGATTGTCTAGTTTAAAGAAAATGTGCATGTGCAGTGAGAACTTTTTTACATGATTCTGGTGTTTTATCGTATTTGGCAACTGTGGGTGTGTCATGTTGTGGGTCAGCAAGATGTGAAACAAGATGTTTACGAGATTGTTATATTGTAAACAATCAGATAGGGGAGGAAACGTTTCAACAGGCCTAGGGTGACAGGATATACCTGGGTTTTAAACAATTTATGTCAGGCCTAAAAATGAATGCTGATGCAGTAATTTCATTCAACGGTTATGACATCTACTATGGCGTTTTAGGGGGAAGTTTCCACATGGAAAAATATTTATTGCTCTGTATTGATGGTAGGAAGGAACCAGAAACTGTTAATCCTTAGTTCATAAGAAATCTTTCCTAAGGCAACCCATCATTGTCAAAATTTTGTTTATAAAAGTAAGAAATCAGTAGACTTATTCCATAAACACACTTCTGAGTGCCAACCAAACAACATCTCACCTGAGTAAATAGACTTCTGCAGATGTCAACATGCATTTTCCTCCTGACCACCTGTCAGTCACCAGACCCTATTTCCATGCTCCCCAAACGCTTTATAAGACCTTTATAAGATTATCAGCCTGCCCAGCTCAGGCAGATGACAACTGATAATCACAAGAAATAAATTTAGAATAGTTTTAATTTCACATATTGGAAAGTGGTCTCACGAGGACTTCTGGGGTTTCCACCAGGTTTGTTTGGAATACACTCAGCAGAACTCCAGGAGGCCCTCAGGCCAGCAGTTGTGTTCATTGAAAGACTTATGCCAAAATACCATTTTTAAAGTTAGTTCCACTATGTGAGACAGTCTAAAAAAGATCCAAGCCCTGATTAGTTTTATTGATCTTTTGATGCAAATTTTATTTCCTTATTTTATGATTTGTAATTAAATAGGTTTTCATATAATTAAACCTATATTTTTATATAAAAATTTCAAGAATGGATTTGTATATAAAGTAATTTTGGTTGAAAAGTGCATCCACTGACAAAATACACCTAGATTTTTCATACAGATTCACTAAGCCTCTGATTTAGAGGTTTACCACTGGAAGGTTGTTTTCTATTAAAATGCTTATCTTCTGCTATTTGCTGTGTTTTTGCTGTTGTTTCTCTATATACACCAAGTTATACGGCTTTGGTTTTATCCTTGCTGTTCTTATTGAACACACACACACCAAGGAGTCTTTTACAGAGAATGGATGGAGACAATACCCTAGTAAGTCTCCAATCCAATCCAAGCTGACTCTAAGTACTCACAGTTAGAAGTCCATTAGACCACTGACCAGTCATGAAAAGGTATTAGTAAAACTGTACCCTAGGTCCCTTACAAAACCTTCATGAGGGCATTCTCTGTTCTATATATTTGTGAAAGAACTGCAATAGCTGGCAGGTTGTTGATCATAATGACCCCTCCTTGCATGTGCTTGTTTGGGAAAGCCACAACAACATTCTTAAGCATACACAATCATCAAATGAAGTGCCCTGCTTTCTAGTTTTTCATGGGCTTGTCTTTGCCCAAATCTCAACCTCCTTCTTAAAGATAATCTAATGTGTATATAAAATCTCTTTCCCAACCCTGCCCGTTCCTCAGTTAATGACCAGAAACTAAGTTGAGTTAAGACAATGGACATTATGGAGAAACTTTTTACATGTAAAATGAATTAACTAGTATGCTTAAACAGGGATCTGTAAAAATTAGAGGGCAGAACAACAAGAATTCAAAAGTTAGAGTTTTTAATTAGAATGCTGAAGCCTTAAAACAAAGTTTTATCTTCAAGAAAATCTCTGTAAAAGATTTGTAACTTTTGAAATTTAACCTTTGTAAATCTCTCACACTTTCTACTCCGTTTTAGTTGGTCTTCCAAAAGAATTATTCTTTTTTTAGGCTTTCTTCGGGTAAAGAAAGATTGCATTGTAAAATTGCTAGATCAGAAGGCATTGTGAAATTGCAAGACCTTGCTGTACAGTCAAGTTAAGAACTATTATCAGTGTATACCCAAACTTTAATAACACAGGCAAAACATTTGCTCCAAATTTAGGATTGTATTATATATTCACTGCTATAGAGGACAGATCTTTAGCAATTAGTCTGTTGACTATTAGCTGCATAAAGCAGGGAAAAATGTTTAATAATAAAAGGATTGGGGAAAGAAAATTTAAACGAACCCATTGACACAATTTTTTTTAAGTTACCTTGAGAGGGTAAGAAAAATATATATACTACACAAGGTAATTTCAAAATCAATATGTAGGGTAGATTGAATAAAGATTCAAAATTATAAACTAAATTAAATCTAAATGAAGAAGCCATTGCCAGAGAGTTGCTGCAACAGCAAACTTAGGCAGACTGTGTGTCTGTAACGAGTCATGCTCTCGGTGTTCCATATGCTCCCTTTTCCGTAAATCTACATGTAAAGAATTATTCCACACTGCTTGGTATGTTTATGCCTCTAAGAACCTCAGAAATAATACCTGCCTATAACCAATCTTCAAGTTATTTTTGGCTCAAAAATTCCTAAATCAATATTAATTTGGATTATAAACCTACACTGGGAAAAACCGAAGTTTTAACTTACTTTAGAAATTATTTTTTAAAAGAGCATCTTAATGCTGAGAGTGGCAGAGCATCATGGCTGAATAGAACCCTCGAGCAATTCTTTCCATTGCAGGAACACCAAATTGGGCACATTTTTTCCAACTTCTATTGCGAGAATGTAGCAGTGTAAAGGTTGCCACATCCTGCAGTTGTTCTTTGTGCCAAATTCCTGCCACCTATGGTTAGGACCAACATCTCAAATTCTGTTAACATGCAGTGTTCAAACCCAGACCACCTACACTGGAATTTTTTACAATGATTACACACTCCTTTACCCGCCCCAGGTCCAGAATGTACAAGAACTCTCTCTATATAAAAAAATATATTTTGTATACACACTTATTCATGTGTTATATACAGTGATATCTTTGCCAATTCCTTCTGTAGTCAGAATGTATTCTACAGAGGAATTAAAGAGGACAACTAAAATCATAAAGGTATGAAAAGTTTCTCTACAAAACCATAAACTACTTAAATTGTTCAAATTCATACAGTATAATTAAGGATTTGAACATGCACATGTCAGTTTTTTGTATTCTAGAAGTTATATTAATATAGTTTCATTATAACATAATAAAATGTGCAGCAATAGCATAACCAGCATAATAGAATATAACATGAAATGTTATAATTATTAGGTACATAAATATATCTTCAGATCTGAGCTACATAGCATCAATTTCATGTGACTTTGGACAAGTTATTTAACTTTACTAAATTTCAATAAACTCATATATACAATGGAAAAATAATTATATCTATATTAAAGCTGTTAGGATTACATATAAAATACTTAGAAATCTTTTCTGTCATCTATTAAGAAAAATATTCTTTAAAGACCTTTTATCATCTCCGTAAATATTATTAGTCACAATAGTTTGATGTCCTTGCAATCAAGCTGATATAACACTAAGTAATAAATATGAAAAATCATATAAATATTACTATAAACATCAATCTAAGAAAGATAAAAACATACATATCTAAGTTATAGGTCAGTTTTTTTTCTGTTTAATTTTGTCTTCATAAAATTAAGTATTTTTTACTGTAACATTTTGATTTGATAAAACTTTCTTATTTTCATATTTGATCCAAATCCTATAAAATTCTTGACCATATAGACAAAAGAAGTGAAGAACAAATAACAAATGCCTGTGTTGTTAAAAAAAAAAGTAAGGAAGTTTATATTTCTGAAGTTTACATTTCAGGATACTAGCATTTTGGTTTCCAGCAACCCTACCCATTTCATGTGGGCAAAAAAGGTCAGACTTTGCATTTTGCAATCCCAACTCTACATTTTAAAGCCTAAATTGTTTTGACTATATTGCATAGTAACAACATGTAGAAAGAAATGAAAGTTGATTAAATGGGAAATTTTTAAAGTTCAGGGTTATTTTTAAGGTGCCAAATACATATTTGCTTCCCAACTCTTCATCGTTTTCCCAACTCTTCATGGTGTCAGATGGCGATGCGCGGCCAGTCTAGCAAAAGCAAAGTGTATTCTGCTATGATCTAACCAACAAAAACATATGAAGATTTTACTTCTTCCTTTTCTTGAATTGAGCTTCCCCTCCCATAAGAAAAAGTAAACACTCGCATTTTGAATTTGCATCATTGTAACACTTAAGGAGAGGAAAATTGTGGTAAGAAAAATCCAGGCTGTTGACTAAAAAACAAAATCACTATTTACATATCCTTGTATATTTTCCTGTTTGACTCTTGGACATAGAACACAAGATTAAAACCATCTTTGTAAAAATTGTGACAGTGAGAAAAATCTGACCTCACTGACTCCAGCTTGCTTCAAACCTCCAAGCTGCCCTTGTTCATTCCTGAGTATAGGCTGAGCTAATTGTGGGACAAATTCAGTTTACAGTTTAGCTTTCAAATAAAGATAATAAAGCTAAAAAGCTTTATATTTATTTATTTATTTATTTTTATTTCCTTCCTGAAATAAATCCCCTCCTTCTTTGGGGACCAGGCTGCCTTTGTAAGGCTAACAAATTAGCCACAAGATTTGAAATTATGACTCAGGATACATGCAGCCAGATATCACAAGATTCCTAACATCCTGATTGCTTCTATGGATAACATTACTATTGTAAAACCTAAAACTGATGTTTAAGATACTTTGCAGACGCTGTAGTCTGATGGACCAGCTGGTATCATCTACATCTGTAAACTGGCTCCCCTAATTCTGCCATCCCACCCAGGGACTGAAGACAGCATAAACTCACTTTAGCCTCCTATCTTTTCATTGCTGACTCAGCCAGTCAGCACTCCCTAGTCCCATATCTGCTAAATTATCCTTTTAAAAAAGCCCTAATCTCCAAATGTTGGGGGAAATGTCTTTTGCTTAGCTGGCTGTATGTTTATTAAACCCTTTCTCTATTGCAATTTTGCTGTCTTCGGTAAATCAGCGCTCTCTGGGCAGTGAGCAAGAAGAACCCATCAGGGGAATACAGGATCAATATAGTTTAAAATTAAGAAAAAATGATCTCAATTATATCCTTAGGATGGAAATATGGTAAGGATACATACATAATAGTGTAGCAAATTATTTTCAGATATGATGAAATATGTATTACAAAACTACAGAGAATGTAAATTTTGAAATAGATTGGTATTCTGAAGCATATATTTCAATGGAAGCATTTATTGAATTACAGTCAATCAATAATAAAACAATAATATTTTAGTTATTCCTCTCAAATAATAAAATAGAGCAAAATGACTATACTAAGGGTATAGCATCGCATACCATAAAATATCATTAGTTAGTATTTAAAGAATCAAAAGTAAAAGCTAAAATTCTATTCTTTCATGTAGGTTCTATGACCTATTGTTTAAGAATACCTCATCATCAGTGTTACCCTTTCCTTTGCCTCATCATTTGGGAAGAAAACCTCTCTACAGAACTCCTCTCCATCTTTGTCATTTGAGTACACACTCTTCTTCATTACTTTCAATTTCTTGAGCAGAAATGTATTAAAGCCACCTGAGCCTGTGTTTTTGATGGATAGCTTCTCAGTGAATCTTAGAATTTGCTGATTTAAAGAGGCCTCTATCAGGTCACCTATTTTATTTCTCTTCACATAGCTAGTTATTTTATGATATTATCCCTTAATAATTTATAAAACAAAATCAGTTTTATTTTGCAAATTTCTTTTGTCATTGATTTCCTCTACTTGTTTAAACACGTTTTGTGTCATTATGTTTTAATTTAATGTTAATATGCTTTTGTTGTATTACACACTACAATAAAAATAATAAATTGTATCAGACATTGATAGTTATTTGACAACCACTGTTATTTATTAATTCTTATAATTCTAAATTTTGTAATTTTCACCTAAGTAGTCTTTATTTTATTAGGTATCCTATTCAAAAACTGCAACCATATGAACATATACTACTAAAAGAAAAATATGTGTCTATTTGATTTCTAACCTAAATAACATTTTTATATAATGTGTTTGGAAGTGTTTGTTATTTAACATTTAAAAGCAATTGTTGAAATATCCAAAAATAGAATATTTATTACAGTATAAGATACAATAGTATAAGTGTTGTAAGGCAATTTGCAAGATTTCAAAACAAGCTTCCTGTTCCAATAATATTGCAGTAATCACGAGAAAATGACACTCTGGAAATCATGAACAGAAAATGTTTAGAAGAAATAATGTCATTTCTGAATAAGTAGGCTTAGAGATAATGTGTAGAAAGGAGAGGGAAAGATGGATAGAGTAAGAAACAAAGAGAAGGGGGAAAAGAGAAAGATGGAATGGAAGGTTAGTAAGTGATAACTCCCACATGCAAATTGAAGGTAGGGGTAAAAAAAGAACAAGAAAAGAGTGAGCAAGCTGGTTAAGAGTGGGTTCATATAATATATGTTCATTTTGTCCCATACATCCCTATGTTTGTGTGTGGCACAGGAAAAATATATTTAAGGATCAAGAGATCTTCTGCCTAGGAGATCAAATTAATGAGTTGCTTTTAGGATCTCTGCTTCTCATTTCTGTGACCTTTTTCCCTCCTTTAAATTCAATCTTAATCATTGAACTAAGCCATGTTTTTAAAAAATCACACCAAGGGTTTATGACAATGCGTCATTATTTACCTGAGAGTTTGAATTTTTAAATATGACAGTAATTTTCACAGTCTTGGGAGATATTAAATGTCATATTCCTTATCCTTGAAAGTTTATGATTTATTAAATGTGAAAGACCAAAAGATGATTCAAAAATGTCTAAAATAAGGCATAATGCTAAGGAATGGATCCTAAGCCTAGAAAAACAGAGATCTCAGCAGGATTATCAGTGAAAATCACAATGCAGCTGGGCGTGGTGGCTCACACCTGTAATCCCAGCACTTTGGGAGGCTGAGTTGGGTGGATCATGAGGTGAAGAGATCGAGACCATCCTGGCCATGATGAAACCCCATCTTTACTAAAAATACAAAAATTAGCCGGGCATGGTGGCATGCGCCTGTGGTCCCAGCTACTCAGGAGGCTGAGGTGGAAGAATCGCTTGAACCCAGGAGGTAGAGGTTGCAGTGAGCCAAGATTGCCACTGCACTCCAGCCTGGTGACAGAGCACGACTCTGTCTCAAAAGAAAGAAAAGAAAAGAAAAGAGGAGAGGAGAAGAGAGGAGGAGAGGAGAGGGGAGGGGAGGGGAGTGGAGGGGAGGGGAGGAGAAAAGAGAAGAGACGAGAAGAGAAGAGAAGAGAAGAGAAGAGAAGAGAAGAGAAAAGAATCACAATGCATTCTCCTCCAAAATAAAAATGTGTACCTGGGATAAACTGAAATAAAATTTGGGGACCATTGGGTATACCGTTAAGCCTTAGAAGAAATTCATATACCAGGACAATTATGGAGTGATATATTCAGGGGTGATGGCTACTTTAGCTTGATAATAGAGGCTATGTAAAGTTTTTCTTATAAAGTGGTGTTCTATAGCATGTTTCTTAGGAGAATCATTTTTAAATTTCTTCTGGATTCCTTCCTTTCTTGGCAGTTAACTCAGAAAACCATGCCTGTAGCTACCTCCCACTTGGAAAGCAGCCTCAGTTTAGGAAAGGAGTTCCCATCTAGGCCATTTGTAACTGCATATTCTAGGAAAATCAGCATTTGTGACTCATTTATACTTAAGCTCATTTCTGCAGGGGTCTTCATTCAAGCTTTGTGATAGCTACAAAGGGTGATTTTGTCCATAGTCTTCACTTACGGACTTACAAGTTGCCCACAGCCATGCAGACAAATAAAGCTCTATTCTGAAAACATAAACACCTAACTGCAATGAACTTTGAAACTTATTATGTAGACTTCTAAATTGACTCAATCGATTGTTATGTTAAATATGTTCACGTATCTGAACATATTTAACATAACAATTAAATATGTTCAAGTATCTGAAAAATTTAATCTTCTATCATGGTAGAGGAAGCTAGTGAAACTCCAAGAGAGATAAATGAGGTAAAACATAGGTAAAAGGCAGTTCAGTCAATTGCAAAATACTAATTTGAGTCAAGAAAGTATCCAAGTACAAAGATCAGATAATTAGCTGATAATTTAATTAAATAACAATTATTTCCTTTATATTTTAATCTAATTAAATGCAAATCAAGATTAAACTATACTCCCTAAATACTCATGTATACCCATAGAAAAGGCAAATATTACTTAAAAGAAACATTTTTGATGGATAGCAGGTAATTGTTTTCCTAAAATATCATGTTAGTGAAAATTTGCTATTTAATCTCACTTATATATACTGACAACATTGAAAAATTATATCCATGCTACTTAATTTATAGTATTTATTTATTTTTCCCTAAGCGCAAGTTTACAGAAGAGTCAGATTAGTTATGTATTTATTTATATATATATATATATATATATAATTTGTACAAAATAAAAGGTACATCAAATATATATCTAAACAGCTATATTAGCTTTTGTTAATGCTATTGGATTGAAAGTTTTAAATTTAAATATCATTACTAAATCCTACGGACAATATTGGAGTTTGACGTTCAGTCAACTCCAATATTCATTTAACATTCATGTATAAATAAAACAACAATCTTGATATGGATTGGCTGTGCTCCCACCCAAATCTCATCTTGAACTGTAGTTCCCATAATCCCTAGGTGTGATGGGAGGGATCCCAGTGGGGTGGGAGGTAATTGAATCATGGCACCAGTTTTCTCTGTGCTATTCTCCTGCTAGTGAGTAACATCTCATGATATCTGATGGTTTTTTTAGGGGGCTTCTGCCTTGGCTTGGGTCTCATTATCTCTCCTGCCGTCCTGTAAAGAGATGCCTTTTGCCATGATTGTAAGTTTCCTGAGGCCTCCCCAGCCATGTACACTGTGAGTCAATTAAACCTTTTTCCTTTATAAATTTCCCAGTCTCAGGTGTTTCTTCCTAGCAGCATGAGAACAGACTATACAAATGTCTTAGCTAATTACTACCTAATTTACCATGAAACCCCAAGCTAGCATGACTATTAATATGCAGCAATTGCCAACTTTTTCCCGGTCCCGCAGCTTGCACTTAACATTGCCTTGCAATTGAAGAAAATACAGTATTAGAGAAACTAAAGAAAAGAGAATGGCTGGCTTCAAGGGTCACAAGAGTTAAAATCAAGAATATTTAAAAAGAAACGGAAAACCATAGCTTTCTAGATTTTGCCTTTTGATTCAACATCAACTGCCAAGAATTTAATTACATTGCTTTTTTCCCCAGAACATTGAAAAACCAATTGTATAGTTCTACTCTATATCTGGAATCTTTGTTTCACTGCCTTTCAAAGAATGAGAGTTATGATAGTTAAATGACACCAAGGGGTTACAATATATATTCGTCCCCATACTGTTAGTAAGCGGCAAAAATCCTATCTACAAAGTTTAAAAATGGAGGGCATCTCACCACTAGAGAAGCTAATAATATTTGAGTAGTCCTCAAGAAAAATGGTTAGACACTGTTAATTTCGGAGAAATTGAAACATCTATTATTGGTTCATTTAGAATTATTCTCAAGCAAAGGAACAAAACTGAATGTTAATAAAAGGAAACCAGGAAAAATTATTATGAAAGAATGTCTATAATAAGGATTATCTTTTCAGTTTTAGAAAATTGTTTGGTCAAAAACACTTTTAAAATATTAAATTTCTACAAAACTCTTACTAATAAATAAATAAAACTGATACAACCTGGCATGATAGTCATGAAAAACATAGGGATTCACAGAATGACAAAACTTTCCAACTAGAGTGAAACCCTTAGTATATTCAGTCTGCCAAGACATTGCTATAGGAAGATGTTTGTTGTTATTGTTGTTGAAAAAATTATTTTTAATATTTATTTCTACTTTATTTTAGGTTCAGGGAGTATGTGTGCAGGTTTGTTACATGAGGAAACCGTGTTGCTCAGGCTTGGTGTATGAATGATTCCATCACCAAGGTAGTGATCATAGTCCTCAATAAGCCGCCGTCCAATAAAAAGTTTCTGCAGAGCACAGGAAAGTATCAACAGAGGAAATGGGCAGTCTACAGAATGGGAGAAAACATTTGCAAACTATGCTCCCAACAAAGGCCTAATATCCACGTCTATAAGAATATTTTAGACAGGTAGCAGAAAGGCAATCTCTCATCTCTATCTCCATGCCCCTGGAGTGGAGGAGATTCCTTTCAAGAAACCCATACAATTTCTGGACAAGTCTCACTTATGAAGATCTTAAGACAGTGTTAAATTTTATGTTAATGGGACTTCTTCCAATGAGTATTTGCTTTGCCTTAAATATTCAAATTCTTTTTCAAATGAATTATAGTTTACTATATAATATATCCCTAGAATTCTTTAACTTCCCTGTTCAAGAACAGATCTAATTTAAGTATTTATTTGTCAGCTATTTTAACTGGCCATTTTTCCATAAAACAGTAAGATATACACTTACCACATGCTTACTTTAAGTCCCCATAAATAATCCGTCCATACATACACAAATACATACATGTATACGTTTATATGTTAATAAATAAATGAAACAATACCTGGAGGCTAGTTCTGTAGAATTGAAACATTTATTTACTGATTGACCAAATATTTCAGTCCTTTGTATATGCAAGACATAGTGTCAGAAGTTGACAACAATCAAATTTATAAATTTCTCACTTGGAAGAAAGTGCATTTCAATGAACAGATATTATGTCTGTGGGGGAAAAGGCTTTCTGGGTGCTAAAACATTCTCCTCCAAAAATGTGGCTAAGATAGCAAATAAGGAGAAGTACTAGAAATGTCATAGTAAGAGCAAGAGCTTTTGCAATGAGTAACTCTAGGAAGCAGTCACATTGTTGTCTGTGTGAATAACACTTCCACCACTTGTGCAGTGTAAATCCAATATGATCACACACAGCAGCTCTGGGGAGTATATCAGAGGACCACTAAAACAAATGGGGATATCTAAAGGTGAAGTCCACCTGAGGAAGAAGAAATAGGGTCTGGAATTATCTTAGATACACCTTTTTCTAAATCTTGGCAATAGTACTTATTGACTATATGAAACCTAATATGATAATTAACAGTTCACGAATTCTTACCTTTAAAGTAGGTACGCAATAAAACCTCCCTCAGGGTAGCTTTGGGGATAATATAAATTAACTAAGAGCATTCTAAGCAGAGCTGCTCCTGTCAATCTACAGAAAATGAAGGCAACAACCACTCTGACATTGTAACACGTCAAGAAGAGGAGTCCATTTGTTGTCAGAATTTTAGATATTTGACTTTCATGTATTTTTTGCATCAATAATTCATAATATTACAGCTACCTTTTTCTCTGTTCTCTAAATCTCTTCAATGATTATTTTTAAAAATATGTTCCAAATTAAGTATATTAAGGCAATTCACTTTAAAACTATGAGTTTACAAAAAGGAAATGTTTGTTAATTCAAGCCAGTGAATCGAAATTTAGCCTTCTAATAAATTCTGATTTTTATCGAATTACTTTATTGTGGGTAGACTTGTAATTAGTAACCGCTGTGAATTTTTCCTTTGTAAATGTGGGGAGGATAAGTTATCAAATTAATCACATTTGGACAAATATCAAGTTTTTAAAAGAGGAAAAATCTGGGTAGATTTTTGGCAACATTTGAGAAAGTTTATTAAAATTTACAAATATATTTTAGCTAACCTTGTTTTAAAGGAAAAATGTGCAGAACTATCTTTCCTCCCAATCCCAAGTTAATTATGTCATTCAACTCTTTACCTCCTAAGGAGATTCTTCATTCTCTGGAACTACTCTAAACATTTATTTTATTACCTCTGTATGTCTTTAGATGCATACTGACTCTTGCAAGAGATACTTTAACCAGATAATCTATTGTCTGCAGAGAGCTGGGATTTCAGATGAGCCCTGGAAAATCATCTTACCATTAGCCTATAAGCAATTTTGAAAATGGAAAGTTGAGCATATTTACTACACCTGGTGAGTCTCTAATTACAATAGTCTATATTCATCATTTACACACATTTGTCATTTTAATTAATTACTCAGGTCCTAACTAAATCCCTTTCCTACATTATCAGCTTCCCATTGGTTTTAAAAAGGTACTTTTTTTGCTGCAATGTAGCTGAATTTTGAAATCAGTGGTTTTTATAAAAACAAGGACTATTCTATAAAATGTATTCCCTATGTGGGGTTCAGGTTCTTGCTATTTATAATCGTTTTGCCTTTTTTATGACTGTGAATATAAAGGATCTATTTTGAGTATTTTAGAAGCTAATTTTAAAAATTCTGTCTTCAGTCACAATTCCCATGTTTAAGTACTCAAAAGATATTATAATATACTGCATTTTATTAATAATTGCTTTAAGTACATATTAAAGGCTTATTTGTTAGGTAGTATATTGGCCTGTGGGCAAATTTATTCATAGCAATATCAAGATTAATGCTCAAATACAGTACAAACATTCTCAATTATTTATACAATGTCTTTTCTCCTGAACTTCAGTTTTTTCGGTTTCATTATGAAGTATAGTCTTGGTTTTTAATGTATTCAGTAAATTTATAATAGAAATTTAATCAATATCATGGAAAAAGTCATTCACAACCACCTGACACAATTCCTCAGGCTTTGAGTAAAATGCAATTCTGGAGGGAAAAACTTGAATCTTTATTGGCCTGAATTAACTAAATCAGTTGCCTACACTAAAATCAAATTGATTTAAAGTGATTAAATGTGTGCTTTCCTCATGCATTTCTGTCTTTTGAGCAAGGTAAGGGTGATTTCTAATGATAATTGTGTTTATTGTGTACTTAGACTATAGCAGGTGCTGTTCTAAGTGCTTTATGTGGAAAAACTGATGTTATGATTTGAATATTTCTCCCAAATTTCCTGTGTTGGAAACTGAATCCTGAATGTAACCGTGTTGCGAGGTGGGACCTTTAAGAGGTGATGCAGTCATGCAAGCTCTGCCCTCATGAATGGATTAATATTGTTTTAACAAGAGCAGGTTAGTTATAAAAGTGAGTTTGGCTCTTTCTTGCTCTCTCTGCTATGTTCTCTTGCATGTGGTACCTTTCACCACACACGAAATGGACTAAGACAACTGACTTAAGCGTCGCAACAAACTCAATGAGAAACTCTATGTTTACCACCATTTATAAAATGATGAGAAAACTGAAACACAGGGAGATTGTGTAATCGCTGAAATTCACACAGTAAGTGGCACATATTTGATTTGACCTCAGGGTCTATACGGTAAATTATCACTTAAGAGGTAGAAAGGTTCTTGCAAACTGTAACTTTAAATAGCAAAAGTATTGTGATGAAACCAATTTTACCTAGGCTAGCTAATGCAAACTAGAGTTAAATTCTTTACGGCCTATTTCTGGTCACAATCGCATCAGCAAACTTCTAAATAATGACCCCAAACACTTAACAATGTAAAATATTGTATCACGAGTGGCACGAGGTCAGACATCACGAAGTTCATGCATGTTTGTGTCTTTTCACAATGTCAGATTTTTAATCATGCTATTTCAATCACGAAGGTCCCGAGCTACATGAGACTCTGAAGGGAGCGGTTCTCCATGGTACTTTGCCTTCATTCTGTAGTCAGAGCTACAGGCACACAGGCTCAAGCCACTCCACAAGTCAATCAGTATAGCAAAACATACATAGTAGTGTACTTAATATATAAATGTTATAGATAAAACATTTCATAACAAAGTAACATTTAACTTTGAGAGAAAGGGGAAAGGAAAAAGGGTTAATGAACTCGTCCAGGGAGAGACGTGAATAAAATGAATGCCCTGTGCTAGTCTAGGTGTTCCATCAGTCAAAAGTCTTAGATGTGGGCACAGTCTTGGCAGCAGATGCTGGGTGCTTATCACAAATGTCAGTAAGACATTGTTAAGATAGAGGTTTGAGCTGCCGAAGTCCTGTTCTTTTTATGGCCACAGAGTCCTCTGCTGAGGGCTGATAGTGGAGGAGTATGCCTGGTAATATTCTTATCTGGTTGGATGCAGTCTTTATCAAAGAGGTGACTCATCTTATCCCTGATGGCATGATGCCTTTTGAAATGCATGGTGGAGTCAACTTCTAAGATGGAGTTACTTATATCTAGGGTGCTCTAAATATTCCACCTCATGATTTTAGTAATCCCAATGCAAATAATGTTTGAGGAAGGGGTTACAAAAATAAATAAATACAAGTGACCTTGGTAATTATTTCTTCTCTTGGCCACTTGTTTACAAACTTTGATTTACAAAGGCTGGCAATGCAGGTTTTGAGTTTCTAATTGGCAAAGAAGATGACTGCAATGAAGATAACAAAGTTCTACAAATGTTCTCCAAGATTTTAGACCAATTCTGGAATCCAGTTTTTAATATGTTTATTAGATTTCAAGCTAATCATGAACTGTTACAAAAAGAATGGCTAAAAGTCTTCTTGATCGTTTGCAAGAAGGTACATCTTCTGTGTAAGCCATCTAAGTATTTTTTAAATCCCATTTTATTTGTGTATTACTATTGCTATTCTGTGCACTACTGTCTCAGTAGTGCATTTTAACTGTGCTAATTAATTCTGTATGGAATTTATCATGAGCCTGTTCAATTTCCTTTGAATTTCCTTGTCCTTGTCTGTGTGGTGTCTACCCAAGGTGTTTCTCATATGTTGGAGTGCCAGGATGATGAAAAAAATCTCTCCTTGTTGTTTCTTCCATATAGTAGTAAGTTTTGAAGTGTTTGTGAGGGTGATGTTTATGGCATACATCAATTTGATACTTTCTAATTGCAAGTGTCTGTTGCAATGCTTTCTACTTGTCCAGTTATAATCAGGTTGTAATTTTTTTCTGAGCACACTATCCAAGTGAAGTTTCCTAAGTCTAGAGGCATTATGGGCATTTTTGTAATGCTGATAGGTAAGTAATCTAATTTAGGCACTATGTCCTGAAAGGTATAGTATATAGTGTTTGACTGTTGGAATATTAATTCTCTTTGTATAAAATAACCATCAACAAATAGTGGCTTTTCTAAGGACATTATTTATAAATTATGTTTTATTTGTCTGTCAAATTGTCATTGTGCCAGTATGCTGATAGTGAGTCTTCTCTTAATTCACAAAGGTTTAATATCCATTGCCCCGAATCTTCACATCCTCATAGTTTGAATGTGTCCAACTGAATTATAGCTGCTTTGTCCCAATTTTCTATGAATGATTTTCCTGATTCTATTTCGTTTTTTATGTTGTTTCAAGTCTGAGTTACTAAAGTACATATCCTAGTCCACCATGTTTGCCCTAGTTTTTCACCATAAGGTTTCTTTCTTTAAATAATATTTCATCTCTTACATCTGTGACTTTATTGCTTTTTATTCATAATCATTCAT